CATCGGACAAGTTAAAAACAGATTTCACTAGCCCGATAGCAAAATCCACTAGCCTGGGCTATCAGACACTACTTTCTTTGCACACTGTTTGCTCCACTGTAGTTATATTATATCCATTTTAAATTTTGACAAAAAAATATAAAAGGGAGACCTTATCCACATTTAAGTACAATGGGGTCATTTTCCTTGGGGAGTGCAAAGCATGCCTCTGCTTTAAACATACATTGTATGGTTGGTTTAAAAACCTCTCTCACCCTAAGAAAAGATTCAGACTGACCAGTAATGAAGACAGTCTGAAGAAAATTAGCGCATCCCACACAGTTTCGTTTAGCTCAGTCCAATAGAACACTGAGTAAGAAAATCTTTATCTGGAATGAATAGAAAAATTATTCACAAATAGGCCATTCTCACTAAGAGTTCATGTCACATCATTTTTATGAAAATGAAAGTTATATGATTTTACCTTCAAAAAACCATTAGTGGGTCATATCGTGAACAAAATAATAGTGATTTTGTTTTTCAAACCCACTCCATTTTCTTAAAATGAGTAAGTTCATAGCTGGTCATGTGACCAAAATGTGATTTTTAAAACTATGAATTACCTCTTTCTGAACAAAAATTTTGCGCTTAAACTTCAAGGAAATTGTTGAAAAGATGATGTGGTAACATTTTCAGCATATCTGTGCGTAACTATCAAACATTTAACAAGATACAAGCAAAAAGTAGTTTTGGCCGCCATGTTAGAGGGCAAGAGTATGCCCTCCAACATGGCGGCCAATACAAATCATACTACTTTGTTGAAAAACCAAAGTGTCATAAAATATCTCTTTTAAATGCGTTTCCTCTCAAATTTCGGGTGTAAGACAGTTTTTATGTGCTCTGTCAATTTTTGGCATCAGCAAGATTCCCACTCATTCTTTAAGAAAGCGTTGGTCACGTGACCTCTTAGTGCAAGTGTTCTATTCCAGGTGATCTCTATGAAACTCTGTATCCTGTTTAGCATTACATTTCATGCACCTTCCAGCCGGTATTTGTGAATACCATTATTTCTACTTCACATACAAATTGAGACTACATGTACAGTGTACATTTTCCCTGTGTTATCGGTGTTTCAGCGGTAATTTTAAACACAAGCAGAGAAAATTCCCATTTCGATGACAAAAAGGTGGATTAAACTCAATAATTTCATCGTTGATGAAAGACAGATTTACCGAGATACAGACTAACACTTGGATAAGATAATATCTACAAATACCTTTAGCTAGAAAACGTTCTTCATGAAGCACAGCGACAGCATTAACCATTAAAAGACAAGCTTCCAATAAACTGTAAAATGTGAGCGCCATCTTGGATTTTCTGACGTGTTGACATGCGCATAAAATGCAACTTTCTTATCCCCTGGGAACGAGTGCCCGTTGACTTCCGGCGGAAATGAAAGGTAGTAAACAAAACCTTTCCAATATGGCGGTTGGCTGATGCAACTTCTGCTTTTATTTCGTTTTAAGTGCAGCTTTGACCGCGACTGAAAATTGTCTTGTCTTAAATACTAGATGATCAAGTTCTTCTGCCAGCGACTGCTATTTTATCAGTATTTTAAATATTTTCTCTCGTAGCCAGTGGCTGATTTTTCGATCAGGAATCCTTAGACATCATGCATTTTGGCACAACTTTACTTCAGATGATGCAATTTATCTGATTCACTTCCTAAAATATATACCATAGAAAACGTAAATGGCGTGGTGAAAATAAGTACGTGGCTTTTCGTTAGAGAGGCACTGTTTTTTCTGACGTGTCCCTAGATCTAATAAAATCTTGCTTCCTTTCCAAATTGCATCAGTACCGATGGTGATTCAGTGTCAGAAGGACAAGTTCAGTTTTCTCACGGTGATACAGTCAAGTCAAGAAAATAATGTTAGCTATAAAATCATTTTTCTCTCTTATTTTACTCATCGGAACAAGTAATCTAACATACGGATCTCTCTTAATGGACTATCCCTTCGACGATCTTGGGTGAGTATTTTGGTTATCATGGGTGTCTCGCATCACAGAATTTGTCAGAATACTGTAAATTTCCGATTATAAACCGTGGGCTTATGCAATTTCGTAAGGGGGTTTAGAAGGGCTTATAAACTTGCGAAGGGGGAGGGGGGCGCTCAAAACCTGACTAAAAGAGTGTTTCAAAACAAGCTACATAGCACTGCTGATTTTTGAATTTGATCGCTTTTTAAGCTTCAAAACCTTGTAAAAAGTCGAATACGTACATCTCAATACAAGCTAGAGAGGGGCATATATTCGGGAAGGGGATGTCACGGGCGACTCGAAGAACGGTTGCGTCTCAGCAATTCACAAGTGAACACATATAACTTCATAATATCATTTTTTTGGCCTGTTTCTTTCAGACTTTGGCACAGAAGGAGCGTATTTGACCTTATCGACTGGGACCCATTCGATGATGACCAGTTTGAACTGGACTTCTTCCATGATTTGTCCTTTCCCAGAATCCAATGGGCACGATCCAACCAACATATGAAAAATCCGACCCCTCTGGTAAAAAGAAATGACAAACGGAACTACCAGCTTGCCATAGATGTCAAAGGATTCGAACCGAAAGACCTTTCGATAAAATTGATTGATCGCGACCTGTTGGTGGTTGGAGAACACACCTGCGAAAGGAAACAAACAAGAGCATGCTTCCGGAGACGATTTTGTTGGAGACGAACACTTCCCGATGATGTAGACACTAGCTCGCTGAAAGCCGCTTTGACCGAGTCAAACGTTCTTGAAATTGAAGCCAAGAAGAGTAAAGATCGGAGAGTAAAATTCCCATTACCGACCGGGGGAGGCCTGGAGACCAAGAGAAGCACAATACAAACAATCATCTTGAGCATGCGCAAACTATAAGACAGGGGGAATCGGAAAAGAAGGAGGAAGAAGCCACAGTGGAAATTGTACCCGATGAGATAGAGATAAAGCAGTAGGAGGAGAGAAAACATTTTGTTATCCTCGCATTATCTCCATCACTAAGCATGACTAAGAACAGAAACAGCTAGACTCTGTTCTATTCCCGCAGTTGGCTTAATGCCTATGGTAAACAAGTTTTTCTTTCCAAAATCATTGCAAGTAAGAGCTGAACCGTTTCATGGAAAATAATTTTCTTTTGCAAAAATTAACTTTGCAGTACATGCAATATGATCGCAAGCACATGAAGCTTTCATGTTATTAAATTTGGAAAGCTTTTAAAAACAGGTTTTCAATAACTATTAAGGGTTAAATGATCGACAAAGTACTCGTAGCTGGCATGTTGACACAATGCATGGCATTTCTTTTATTCTTTAGTACTGAATAAAGCTAATAAAGCTAGCATGAGTACAATTTGTTTTGGGGTTCATTGCTTAGCTGGCTGTAGAAAATACCCTACAAGGTCACGCAATCACATTCTGAAAATATAGAGCGATTTTAAGTCACATTTTTAGGGAAAAAACGGAGAATAAGACAGAAGCATGTGATGGATGAATAGACCATTTTACAGTTGTGAGCTAAGTAACCTAGCCTTTGAGTGAACGTGAGGCTGAGGTTGACCTTGTTTTGAAAGAAACCTCTTTCCTTTTCTTATGGCCAATGATGCTTAAAAAAAACCAGTTAGGATAAGAACGACATGATTTACATTATAAAGCAGGAGGGGTTGTTTCAAAACAAGGTCAACTCAAACCTCGTTTCCACCTGTAACTGTAAAATGAACTATTACAAGAGTACTGAAGTATTGTTAATTATTAGCTATTGTTTCCATTCCCAACGTTGAATAATGAAAGCCTTAACCAGCTTTTCAGACACTCGTTACAAAAGATAGCGAGAAAAAATCGTGCTACGGCATTTTCTTTGCTCTTTTACCAACTGGGAATAAAAAAAAAGACTGGCTCTGACCGATGATATAATAATCCAATCGTCTGCATGACCACCGTTTACGCCAGCTTACTTCTACTCCAAAAGAGACGTCATTTTGTATTCAGCATCATTTAAAGCTCCCCAGCTATACAAAGCATTACAATAGCAAAAAATACACATTCACAGAGCTATCAGAAAAATCGGACTTACATCTGTGCGTTTCACAAGCCGGGTGTCAACTACTGCTGTCATTACGTGCCTAAACGTCAGTTTTGATTTCTAATTAACAGCGTTCAGATCTTTATTGTTCTTCACCTTCAATAAATAAGACACTGAGCAGAACACTCCCAGTTTTTTTCTTAAATGAAAAGTTATAAAACCTGCCTTCCCTTAGAGAGGAGGTTTATATCTGAAGGCTTCTCCATGCACGCACCCTTCAAAACAATGAAGGTAAAGTTCATTTCTTGCGTTTTTGTATGGAAACTATTGGAACATCTTTCTAAATTCAGTTTTAACATTGCTAAGGATTATCTAGAGGGATATTATTCCGCTGTCTTTCAAATATCGTTTGAAACAAACTCCAAGGTGCAAGGGGGTAAAATATATATCCGTAGCCGAGTAATCGCCTGTAGGAAAGTTTGCGGTTTAGTTCTGATCAGGGTGGCTTTAGGTATAAGGTGAAAAAAATTGTAAACGGAAAACGAGCTCTCGAGAGCTCGGTTATTATCTCGGTTTTCGTGTCTTCCATAACATAAAAGTTAATAGCGTTTATTACTGTCCCTGAGCCATCTCAGTGAATTTGTCTGGATGAATTTTAACATTGGTCAAATTGGTGATTGCAATCAAGTCTGTCAGTTGATTGCAATGGTGCTCTGTACAAAAAGTAATTCACTACATAAAACACTTTTGACGTTTTCTTCTTCACACTCTTTTCTTTACCTTTTTTTAACAGATGACTCCTTTTGCACAGTTAAAGAATTTCTTGATCCTTATTGGTATGATGAATTACATATTTCTATTTAGCAGCTAGCAAAATAGGAACTTGAACATGATATAATTGATATCGGATCGTGAAAGGTAAACTTCCATGCATTTTCCCACTATTTCTTTATAATGAAAGTGTAACATTTTTCAGCGTTCTAACAATAAGACCTCGCATTCATGTGCATTCAGAATGAGTTAATTAGTGAGATTCATTTGTCATGGGATTAATATTTTGCCAGGTTCCCTGATAGTGTAAGATAGGTATATCTCTTCTAATGTGTTCTCTAGCTAATTCGACCAAGTCCAGACGGCCTTTAATGTTGTCCCGGAGTTTTTAAAGAGAAACGGTGACCTGTCAAAAGAGACATACTTTTAATTTATTTTACTTCCCTAAAAGTTCCAACATTTTTTACTTAATCCCCAGCGGGTTATCAAGTTTTACATATTCTATGAACTAATTCTTTTATATATTTTTTTCCTAAAGCTACCAGATTTTAATTAAATTTACATTGCACTGTATGTATATTTTATTTATATGTGTCATTTGTCTGTAGGTACTTTGGAATTATGCATAAAAACATCTTCAACGGTAATAAATATCTACCTTATCGACCTTCCTTACTTAATTCTTAGCTCCTTTGGCAAGCTCTGACAAATACTCCTTGTTTTTGTAGCCTCTTCATCAACACATGACAGAAATGGAAATACGGCGGTACTTTGGTGTCCAAACCCATGCAGATGGTAATTCAAAAGAGAAATAGTGAAAGATATTGATCAAAGATGCTCATTCTCGTTCAAAGATTATCAGATATTTTTCGCGAAAACAAAATTAAGGATGGTACTTGCATTCTGTTTTTATTGAAGTAAGAACTTTTTGTATGCATAGAGGTGTGTGTACTTATAAGAGCTGATCACTTTCATCTCTAATTTGCCGATGTTCACTCACAATCGTATATCAACACTGCTTTCGGCTTCAGTTCCAGAATATGAAATAACCGAGCCATATCAGTCCAACAAACACGGCGATTTCGTGTCCCACACGCTCCACCGGCGGCACACGCGTGACGTGCATGACGAGGATGCGTGGCACTACAGAATGGACGCGTTTGGAAAGAAAATGCATCTGAAACTGAAACAAAACACGCAACTGGCAAAACCAGGCCTCTCCCTGGAAACGAGGGACGAAAACGGTGACATCACTTGGTCCCCTGTTAAAACTGATTCATTCTACCATGGAAAAGAGGCCTCGGATCCAGACTCTTTTGTTGCTCTAAGCAACGATAAGGGACTGGTAAGTTGTCATGTCGACAAATAGACAAAATATCTGTTGTTGATATCTTCACTTGCGGAATAAAAGTGGGGGATTTTATAATGCGTCAAAAATTCGCCATTTTAGATACGAGAAGGAATCTAAAATGGATCTAGTTAACTTTCGGAAAGACCTGTGGCCAATAGCTGACCAGTGAGTCACCAGTAACGATTCCAAACTATCTTTACGAAAGTTAAGTTTGCTCAATTACCTTCTCGCTTCTAATATGGCGAGACTTTGATTCTCGTGATATGAAAAAAGACCTGTTAACGTTTAAACAGTAATTTGGCCCGAAGGAATGTGACAGGAAGAATTTTAAAAGCAACATCAATAGGTAGTAAATCAAATAGAAAATTGAAAAGAAAATATTTAAGCAATATTTCTCATCAAACATTAAAGCATTGCTTAAGCTTTTAAGAAATCGTTTACATTTTGCAAACTTTGGGGGCTTTTCCTTTTTTGATGGCTAACCACTGATTTTCACGTAGTGTATGCATTGATTGAACTTGCGGGTAACTTCTGGGTAGCTATCTAAATATAAGTATTTCTAACGTAATTTTGCCAAATAATATTTGTTTTAAACTTATTTTTCGCAGACTGGTATGATAAAGCTGTCACGTGACACCTTGTTTGTTCATCCTCTTCCTGATCACCTGGCTAAACACGTGACTAGAGGAAGTGGAGGAGCTAAAAGTCATCTCGTGTACAGGAAGTCGAAACTATCATCTCAATGCCACACTAAAGTAGGTAAGAGGAAGGGACTAAGTTACAACTTCATCAAAAATGTTTTGAGACACTTACGCATATTTACCGTGAATGTTGCGACCAGATCCTGGTAAATGGTTCAAAATAAATATCTAATTGTTGAATACTCCCCACAATTTTTGATGTAAGTTTGATCTCGACGTTGTTTATCAAAACTCTCACAAGAATCTGGGAATTTTGGTTCAGTTTGATCTTAAGTTGTAGGTGCTACTCAGAAATTTAGTTTAACAAACCCATTTCCTTTTCAGGTTTGGCTTCAAGTATTGATAAGGTGGCAAAGAAGAACAAGATCGAAGGCGCTACAAATGCTGATGCCGCTGTACAAAAGTATTTACAAGCAGCTCTTGTGTTGGATGAACACGTGGCAGCTGCTCACGGGAATGACACCACAGACTACATGCTAGTTTTAGCCAACATAGTAAGTAATGGTTTGGCCAATGAACAAGATCTCCAGGGAATGATAGGACGAAGGGAGGCCAAAAAAAGACGAGGAGGAGATTTCCGATTTCCCCGGCTCACCCATGGTAGTTGTTGTTGTTGATGTTGTTATTGTTGTTTGTTTATTTTTTAATTCCCAAAACGAAGAGGATGGGACGTGGGTAAGCAGCACCTGTTATTAAGGGGCATCACTTCATTTTATTTTATTTTCCCGTTGCGAAACGTATAATGGCCACTTGTTTGGTTGCTTGAAACATGTTTTTATAGCTAGCTCATGTGCTAATATTGTTTTTTTGTTTGTTTGTTTCTCAGGTTGCTGGAACATTCCACGATAATTCCATCGGACACATAAAAATGAATTACGTTGTTAGCCGGCTTGTTGTCATAACCAACAAAGAGGTGTTTTTTTTTTCCGCAGACTAATCTCTACTACTTCTACTACTTCACAGAGGCGCTTACGCGCTCGAGAATCGGGATGCACGACGTCACACAATCCGGCCAGGCACATGCGCACAGGAGGCCTAGCATTCTGACATACTTAACTAAAATATTTTAAAAATAAAAATAGTAGAATTCAGTTTACGGCTTGAGCGAGACAATGAAGGAATGGTGGGAGATATGCCAGGTCAAGATGGCATAATATTGCCCTTCCCCCTTTTTAGGGGAGTTCGTCTCGGGAAATAGACTCAAGACCGATCTTGCCCGCTATGGGTAACTAATCGGAGCACCTAGGATTAATTTATTAAGACTTTTAGAAATGTAATTTCAAAGTTTACCTTTTGTTTTCAGACTCTAAAGCAACGGCTACACATGTAAATTACATTTGCAAAAGTTTTAGAAAGTAGTCCCTGATTTGCATGCCTAATTTTGCCCGCTCTCGAAGCCATACAAAAGTTTGTTGAAAAAATAATGATACGGTTTGATTGAAGACCTGCCTTCATCAGTGCTGTTTTTCTTCTCTTTCCTTTAGCTAAACGTTTATAGGAACTCATCTAGCGGGCGAAGACTGGACATGATCGCCGCGTGGGCGGCCAAACACAAGTCAGATAGCAAAAGCGATCCAATGTACTTTGACGTCATCTCTCTGGTTCATGAGTAAGTTATGATCAAATTGTTTCAGCAAGATAAAAGGTCTAAGAATTCTTTTCAAAGATATTAAAGAAAACATTTGCTTTAAAAGCTCGCATTGGAGAGATCTACTGTTAGCAATACTAGGGTAACGGCTATGTTTTATAATCAATGTCATCATTTCAAAAAAATTAACATCCTTAGGCTAAAAGAGAATTATGCTTGTTAGCTTTTAATCATTTGGCAACTTCCCTTTCGCGTAATTAATCACTATTTTCACTGTAAGTCACCATCTTGGTTTGAGAAAAGAAAAAAAATAGCACTAGCTATCAAAGGCCAAGACCATTTCAGCGGGGGGTGCAGCCCGCGAGGGTGTGTCAGTATGTATTTGCAGTAAAACTAGGATCTACCTGAGAAAAGGTCTGGAAAGAAAATTCAAAAGGAATTGAAGCTGATTAACTGTAAAAACTGCTGATTAGTTCTTAGCGCCCTAACGGAAACACATTAATATATATTTTCTGTTTTACCAGATCTTGTTGTGGTGGAGGTATGTACGTGTTCATTAATCATATTTCCTTAACATACTTGCATTAAAATGCTTTCTTGTTTTGGCATATCAATCCTCAATAAGGGCCCAAATCATGCTTTGTATCCCTCAAATGCCAAATACATGTATGCCGGGTGTGATTTCTTCACCAGGACAGGAGAGGGATTTCCTCTTATGACTAGTGCTAGCTGGGGGCTATCAATAGTGTCAAGAATATTTGAAACAAAAATGCAAAGTTCTGCAGCAGAGTTCAGTTGTCCTCTTTGTTCTTTCAGGAAAGGTTTCTTTTGACATTCAACTCCCAGAATCTCTTGTGCTCAGTATACTGTATAATCCCGTTAATTATTTACAATAACCTGTATCCCTTTAATTTTTTTTCGTAAAAAAACCTCGTGTGTGGATGCATTCCTAGGGCTAGCTATTCTGGGTGGTGTCTGCTCGCGTAGAATCAACAGTAATGTGAACGGAGATACGGGTCTACAGACCGCCAGCACTATCTCACATGAGACTGCTCACAAGTAAGAATCTTAATTACCAGCTGTCTTTTATTTATAATTCAGTACTTTCATTGTCAGGTATTAAATCAATTGTGGTCTTTAGTACCAGCTGTTGTTGGTGTCCAAAAAGACTGGAAAGATTGGAGTGTAAATGAACATCGATACAGAAATATGAACATCAACATCGACCTATAAAAGGTTGCACTACACTTAGCTGTGAAATAGTTCATTGTAATTTTAATAGTTGTAGTTTTTACAATACTTCCCTTGTCGCTAACTTGTTTATAAACCCTCTATTCCTCTATTTTGTCTTCAAGAAATAGTCGAACACGCGTATGTGGACGGGCTCCCTTCACGCTTACAAAGCTTACTAGAACTTTCAGTCTTCGTTTCATTTTCTCCAAACCTGACAAAAAGCTCTGGATAGTTTTTTTTTGTCATACAGGGTCTGACTGAGTTTAAATACCGTAAAAGAAAACCTTTTCCAAGCACCCTTTTTTTCCTTCAATTTTTTCAAGTATTGGTATTGGTCATGACGGAGCCCAAAGTTGCCCAGATGGGATAAACATCATGGCCACCGGAACAATCGCTGGAGAAGGATCTTACAAATGGTCCTCCTGCAGTAAAAATGCTTTACAGCAGTATCTTAGGTTAGTTCATATGAAAAGTAATATTTGGTGTGCATGCAATTCGTAATGTCTGCTAGCTGAACGCATCCCACATTAGCCATATGGAGGGATAATAGGGAGAAGAAATGATCTCAGGCTACCACTGCCAGGGATTATGGGCTCCTGGTTTTGCACTCTTAGCCAAAAATAAAGGCAAACTTATCTGTATATAAACTGAAGAAGGAAAGTAACACTAAGCGAAACGGAAGTCATCGCCCTTACTCCCTTTCAAGGTTTTCTCCGAATTCCGGACCCGGGAAATTTTTGGTTCTGGAATCCGAAATCCAGAGGAAAATTTTGCTAGTGGAGTCCCTAATCCTGGGCTTTGGAATCCGAATGTATATATCGAAAGGGAAAATCAGTCTGTAACAAAGTCAATAAGATGAATTTTGATAAAGCATTTTGGAACTGGTGGATAGTAAGAAAGTTAAATTTAGTCATAAGAAAAGACCAGTTATATTTTACTTTCAGTACAATAATGTACATGTACTAACCTTACTATTTTCTACTAGAAACATATAATTTAATTATTTACTCATTCATTAATTCATTTATATACAACAATGCAGCGGACCTGGTTCCGTTTGTCTGAATGAACCACCTCGAATATCTCTTCCTGCTTTTACCAACAAGAACATTGCTGGAAAGTTGCCTGGTGTGGTTTACAATAGAGCTGTTCAGTGCGAATTCCTTTTTGGAAAAGGATATCGTGGTTTTGGGGCAAGTGTTTTCTTTAGAAGTGTTTTGTATTGTGTTTAGTCAAAACTGAAGTTTATGAAAAAATTTCTCTTTACCAACATAATAAACAAAATATCGTGAATCTAGAACTGTGAGTATTTTATAAATGATGTCTTTTCTTGAATTAGATATATATATTCTGATCAGTTGTACTTCTATCCTAATGTATACTCCGAGTCTCCGACACGCGCTTGGACTGCAGGTAGTTTTGGAAGAACACCCGTCACTGTATACTTTATCATCTTCAAGGTTATCTGCAACGTTTTCGTCGATATTGTTCGATTTTATTTTTGTAGGGACAACGAAGATATTTTAACTTGGTGACAACTGTTTTGACATTGCGCTCTCGCAGTAAACTCGAAGGGGAAATTTCAAAATACACACCTTCACGTTCACCAGAACGCAAGCCGGTCAGAGTCACATTTGTATGTATTATTTGTTTTTTAATTGTTTTCAGTTAAGCTGTGTCACTTTGTATTGCACAAAGAATGGGTACGTTTACACAAGCATGGTGGTCGGTCCTGTCGACGGAACGAGCTGTGGACCACGTCATGTAAGTTAAGGATTGTGCAGTGAATATTTCGGATGGGCAGCCTTGTGGTACTCCTTTTTTGTGACACCATTCCCTTTATTGGCGTGAAACTTTTGTAGCTGGAGTGTGCTGGTTACTTTTATATTTTACCACCAAAGGATGAAGTGGCCTCACGAAACATATCCAGGCTGCTCAGAATGACCCTCAAGGGCGGGGGTACTGACCTTTTACAATCTTAAATTTGGAATAGTTTTTTACTTAGGATAGGATGAACGTTAGATACTCAGAAAACGGTGACTAAACTAAAGACATTGACAACCTCTTATTTGGGATTAGAAAAACAGGTCTATCTTCTGAATGACTTGGTTCTTTTAACACTCAGTCTCTGACATTTTTTATACAATAGTGGTGTATCCATAGTAAATGCGTTGACAATGGATCTCCGAGGATTGACGGGGGGTGGAGTGAGTGGTCTGATTATAGTCCTTGTAGCCGAACGTGTGAAGGAGGTCTACAGTACAGAAAGAGGACTTGTACCAACCCACCGTATGTACTCTAAACATTTTGCTGCCTCTTTTTTTGTTGTTGCATGTTTTCTTTAGAATTAAAACTATTTTCTTTGCGCCAAAAATGAGTCTAAAAAGTCCACGAAGTTTAGTATTTCCCACTTTCCCATGTATCGCGCAATGTTGTCTTTACCCCCCTATAGTCATTCTGTTCAGGGTTGGAAACCAATTCCAGCTCTATACTCGAACCAGCGACATTAAGGTTACCCAATTAAATGACCCATTGACTACGATGCGGTAGAGTCTTTTGTTTCTGGTTAATACTTTTTTTTTTCTACTTTAGTCCAAGCAACGGCGGAGAGAAATGTTTAGGAAGAGACATTGGACATTATAAAATATGCAATTACCAGGTATGTTAAATGTGTACAGCATTGTGCATTGTAATAATCCGCGGCAGGGTGAACGAATGCGTCTGTCATAAGAGAATCGCTTGACTTCCAATAACTACCAGGCAGATACTGAATGGCTGCATTAAACTAAAGTCACCACTGCNGAGAGAAATGTTTAGGAAGAGACATTGGACATTATAAAATATGCAATTACCAGGTATGTTAAATGTGTACAGCATTGTGCATTGTAATAATCCGCGGCAGGGTGAACGAATGCGTCTGTCATAAGAGAATCGCTTGACTTCCAATAACTACCAGGCAGATACTGAATGGCTGCATTAAACTAAAGTCACCACTGCCCTTGCTCGCACTGCTATATAATTGAAATATCTTTTATTGAATATAAGAGTGTATTTTTTAACGGCAGATTGTTTTATAACTTTCATAAATGCAAACTACCTTTTCTTAGTGGCCTTCTATTCCTATTTGGAATCTCTCTCTTCTTTATTTGTACTCTAAAGTTCACTTGTAAACTCCGTGAATTTTGTTTGCAGATCAAATGCCCTTTGCCCTCTTACCGGGACTTGCAATGTAAGAACATAGACCCTGGAAAGATTTCCTACGCTTATGGAGGTATCAGTTAAGTTGAAGATGTACTTAAAAGAGAAACAATAAAACCCCAGAACAACAACAACAACATTTTAAACATGCAGTACCCCTGTTAAATTACTTGAATAAAATATTTTAGTCCTGGCATGCTGAAAGGAATGAAAAGTATCATGGTTCGACGATGCGACTTTTATTGAAAAATCTGAATTTGTAGTAAAACCCTTCAAGATAGTGTTCATCCATGTCAAATGCTCAACCTCCACGCTCTTTAACGCACAATCTGATAATATTCATATCACATTAGCCAACCGAGGCCTTTATCTTTCCAAACAGCTATATTGCGATGGGCAAAAACCTACGAAAGCCTGCAACTACCATTTACTGAAATGAAAGTCTTATATCTTTGTATTGTTATAGATAAATGTCATCTTGCCTGCATACAGCATAGTACCATAACTTATCCACACGGGCGAGTTGCTGATGGAACTCGATGTACCGCTGACCCTGGTGACTTTGATGTCTGCATCGAAGGAAAATGTCGGGTACAATTAAACATCTTTAAATGTAAAAATAGACTTTTGCTACCTGTGACAAAGATGAAGGAGGTATAAACAGAGGAAATGATTTCGCAGCTTGGAACGTTTTTTGAGCATGTTGGATTTTCAGAACGAAGCAAGCGCTTCCTCTCTTCCAAAAATGAATGAAAAGACCTTCAACCGTTTTAAGCTAGCTTCTACAAAAGTTTATCTGGTTGAGTGGGACCCTATACTAAAAATGTGTTGGATGAAAATCAAACTAACTAAAAATTTAGCATCAGTTCCGTTGTCACAGTAGTCACGGTGTGTGTATCTTTTTTTTTTTTCACCGATAAGGCCGTAGGCTGCGATCACGGATTTGAGTCAGGAACGAGAAAGGATCGCTGTGCGGTATGCGGGGGAAATGGGGAAACTTGTAAATTTGAAAAATCATCTTACACCAAAGACCACAGAAGCTACGGTAAGTTCACCGCATAACAAGTAATTAAAAAATACAGTGGTACATGTACACTTTAAAGCAAACTAAAAATTAACCGTGAGCGTGGAGCACAATTGATATTTGATATGGACCAAATTTTGTATTGTCATTCTTCTCATACAGGTTTTGGAAATGCAGATACTGTAGTGATTCTTCCTGTTGGAACAGTGAATGCAACGATCAAGAAGAGAGGAGTTAACTTAAATTTCTTGGGTAGGTAGTTCGAAACTTACGTTGGACATTTTTGGCTCGTCTTTTTCAAATAACCGTGGTATTCTTCCATCATATACGGCGAGATTTTTTCTCTTAATAGGCATTAAGGATCATTTGACAGGTCAATACATCATTCATCTTCCTACCTATAGTCGCACGGTCTATTACAATGGAACGAAGATTGCTTACATTCGTAATGGATATGAATATGCAGATTCCCTTGAAATTGACGGGCCGACAAATATCCCCCTGAGAGTAGTGGTAAGTTCAAAAAATGTCACTTCATACTGAAACATACGACGGTATACAAGAACGAATAACATGCGGAATTAAAGAGTATCAACTAATCTAGAGATACCAAAGAGGGGAGAATTTCTGCCAAATTTTGTGATATTTTCCAATAGGCCAGTTTCAATGATTAAAATTCATTCACGTACAATTTTTTAAAGAGCCTTTTTTAGGCTCACTTAAGTCTCGTGTTTAACTGAAGATTTATTGATTGACTGATTGATTGATATATGGATTGATTGATTGATTGATTAATTGTTGATTGATTGATTGACTGATTGATTGATTGATTGATTGATTGATTAATTGATACTTAACTCAGAGGCTGAGGTAAATAAAGCAAACGAAATTGCATTGAGATCAAGAGGTTAATAATTCATTTCTTTTGCCTTATTACTCTCAGACTCGGAGCCAAGTTTGAATTTTGATAATTCGAAAACGGCACAGTGTGCTGCCTGTTTTTTATTTCATCTATGCATCAATGGTGAAAAGATGTTCTGTTTTCTTGTGTCTTTTAGTTTGCTTATATACGAGGAAAACCTCAAGGAGTGGACTATCAGTTCTACAGGCCATTACTGTCAAATGAATCTGCTGCCCCTGTTTCGTTTAAATGGATCACTGGAGCCTGGACTGCCTGCTCTGGGAAATGTGGCCAAGGTGATGTAAAAATCCAGTTATATTGTCTATTTAAGTGATTAAGATCTTTCAAACCAAGCACTACAATTTTGTTCATTAAAAAATGATAATGGGCTTAAGAAATAATAAGTTGTTGATCATGAATAAGAAAATCAAGTCTAGGATCCAGGAAAAAACGCGCAACAAATAAAACATGGACCGGCTATCTTCGTTTTATCGGCCAGCGGCTAAGCCTTCCACGCAGGCGATTTTTTCGGAGGGGAGGGAGGAAATACGACTCTTCTAAATACGCCTATGTTAGGGGCTAGCCCTTTGAGGGCCACATTGACATGCTAAAGAGGGTGTACTATCAGAAAAGGTATGAAATCTTCGCACACACACACACCATAATTCCAATAGGGTGGGGAGAGGAGCATAGACTTAAAGTGTAACTTTGCTTAATTGCTTAGAGAAAGGTGATGGGACGTAGGAGCATCTAGCGGTCAGTATACTTAGGTTCATTGAGGTAGATATGTATATGATCAAGTTAAATTGTTTTTATCATATTTAACTTAGGAATCTCTACAAGAGAAGTGCACTGTGTCCGTTCTGATGACGAGACTCCTGCTTTAGTTGACTCTTGTTCAAAACAGACTAAACCTGAATCGCAAAAAAATTGCAAGCTTTCGACCACCTGCGCTCCTGAGTAAGTTTTCGCTCAATTTACTTTCTTAAACGGTTTATAAAGGAAACGGTCTATGTAAAGGCCTTTCATTGTCCTTTGGGCTATATGTGGTCCTCGCAACGTTAATTTACTTGGCTATAAGCAAGTGTTTTTAATGATGCATTTAAAGTTTCTTTATCTAATATGGCTACATATATTTTATTGTCAATGATAATACAAAAACGAGGAACGGGTAACAGGGAAGAAGGAACAGGGAACGGGAAACGGGGAACTTAATCCCTAGCGCTATCGGTAACTCCCCATATACCTATTCTCTGTTTCTTTCCACGTCATTTTTTCCCGTCCCCCTCTCCTCATTGTAGTAACCGTCCTATACTCGCAAATTAAAAATTTTCTACTGAGTGAAGAACAAACCATATCTTAGTAGGCTTAGTTATTGGCAATATGTCGTACAATTTCTCTTCAATTTTAGGTGGCACCTAACTCCATGGAACGAGTGTTCCAAAACGTGTGGAAAAGGCGACCATTTTCGTGTTCTTTATTGTCGAAAGCAAATCAATGAATCTTACTTCCAAAAAGTGGATGACAAAGCTTGTTATTCCAGCACTAAGCCAAACGTAACATTGTTTCAACAATGTAATGAAGTGATGTGCCCACCTGAATGGAGATCTCTTCCTTGGTCCGAGGTAACATTTTAAACCACATAACCATTTGCTAATAATGGTCTTTTAAAGCCTTATTTCAAGTGTATATGACAGGATATTTTTTTTTGTCGTTTTAAATTTTTAAAGATGTCTAAAATGTATCCAAAATCAAAACTTGTCAAAACTTATGCATAACCTTTTTTTCGTCTTCAAACACGCAAATTTCCCTTCAAAAGTCTCCGCCCTATCGCGCGCTAACTTGCCAAGTATGACGTAGAGTGATTTGCAAGAGTGTAGAATAATAAACAAGATGACGGCTACTAAAAAGGATTGTCTTTGTCGACAATTTCCCAATCATCCGCAAAATCTTTATTTGCTTCGCCATACCTTTCGTTTATACAGCCAGCAATGACTAGAATCGGAGGTGGAGGCTGAGCAAATCAACTGACGTTACATAGCGTCATCAGCGTTTCTTTGATCCTTTACTTGTTTCCTTGAAGTCTCTGGGATGTTTCTCAAGGAGAAAAAGACTTTTTTTGGAGACAAGTTTTCAAAGTTTAAAATTGTTGATTAAACTTATCTAAAGACAAACATATACTATTTGCCTTCACAATGCCAGAAAATGTCCTTCCTCGGGACCCCTGTTTCATGATTTCACCATGACATTTCTATCATTGGTTATACTGGTTCCCCGTCCTTTGTAAAAGTGGGGTGTGGTGCTTCCAAGTTTTCATATTAATATTGATCGATATGTCTTGTATAAGCAAAAGGAAATGAAGCATGTTTATGTCCAATGGTGGTAGTTTTTGTATGGTTTACATCTTTTAAAATATCAAAGTTTACTTCTCAGCTAGGTCAATTTGGCAGTCTGTCTTATAACACATCAATGACAATCACCAAGAATCACAGAATTTCCCATTTTCTATCATACCTGATTTTATTTCGCTTTTAGTGTTCAGCGACGTGCGGCGGTGGTATAATGACGCGAAAGTTAGAATGCATCAGAAAGAACGAAGTCGGGCAAGTTATAAGAGCTGGGCACTCATTTTGTCGATATGCTGCCAAACCTCTTACAGAAACCGTCTGCAACGAAGACAAGCACTGTGATCGTAAGTGGAGCCCAAATACACACTATTTCCTCTTTTACGGCGGCTATTTTAATCGTCGGTACGGAGCATATTTATTCGAGCAAGGGGAGTCCAAGACAGTCTTGGATTCTGGATTGCATGCCGTAGATCCCGGATTCCAGGTACTGGTTTCGGGATTCTCTGTCAGTGGATCTTGGATTCCGGATTTCAATAATTCCTGATTTTTTGAACTGTATTGCGGATTCCCCCACATGAGGCGTTATGGGAGGGCATAGAAAAGAAACTTTTGTCAAGTGCCAAAGAACGCAAGCCATCGCGTACGCAAACGAAAGGAAAAATTGTCCTAATGCTTGCGATCATAGTAAGGTCTACTTTACTTTTCTCACAGTTTTCTCAAAGAATTCTTTCAGCGTTTTACTCTACCATATAGTAAAGTTAGATTTTTCTTGATCTTATTAATTTTGATTTTCTTCTGTTTTTATATTGCAACTGAACGATTCTTTGTTATAATTATAGTTTTGTGTTTGAAACTAATGTCGCCTAATTTAGTCTCCGTCCCATAAACAACACAGACAAACCAAGGTCTGACTGATCTTTTCTTACTCAGCTCCACCTGAAGTTCAAGTGGCATGTTTTATCGGTGCTGATAATATCAAAGAAGTACTTGGAGATTTTACTAAACAGATCAACTGGGACGACACAAATGAAGTGGTAAAAAAATGTGCTAAGCTGGCTCACAATAAAGGTTACAAGCTTTTTGCCCTGGGCAGCAATGGCCTGTGTTTATCAGAGGCCAACATGAAACAGAAATACCATGTAAGTGGTTCTGAAGGAGCGAAGTGCAAAGACGGGATTGGAATGTGGAACAGCATGTTCGTCTATTCCTTAGGTAAAGTGGCCTTGGCCGGCTCCCATGCAGTGTTCCTTACTAAGGCTTAAATGTCACGCGTCCCCTCCCAGGGCTTCCTTCGTGGGGAAACAACGCGTGACTAAGCCCTAACAACGTATACGCATGCGTGGGAGACTATATGTGAATACTACTTTTTTATATTTTAAACAAAGATCATTGAATATTCGAACCTACTCGTTATTAACATCTGTCTATTACAGACAGCCTCGTGTGTCGTGGAAACCAAACCTGACACGTTAATCCGACTAACTGCTCTGCAAAGCGGACAACTGGTCTCCTAAGCTAAGGAGAATTGATTCGATTCAAGATTCTGAAAATTTTTAAGCGAGTCGCGTTCATTATATGAAACAGTTCAAATTCCTAATATAATAAGAGCGAACGTATATCGCAGAACCTCGCGTGGCTGGAAGGCTGACCCATCAATTGCTTGGGGTATTAGACGGAGAAATAGAGTGTGTAGTGACTTAGGGGGTGGGTTTCAGCCTTTAGTTCTGAAATTGAAAGTTATTAACAATTATTCCTCGAGCCCAAATGGGCTCTGAGTCAATAGCCCATGCGGCCCGAGGCCGAATGGGCTATTGACTCAGAGGCCATGAGGGCAAGAGGAATAATTGTTTTAGTAAAATCCAGCTAGTTGGTCAAAAATATCGAGACAAAACAATTTTAGCTAGCAAAACGCGATTCAGCCGCCATTGTTTTGGTTTTCAAAGCCGGCGCTTTTCGCTACTAGTGGGCTATAACATATAGCCTAGTAGTAGCTCAACCAATCAGAACGCAGCATTGATAATAGACCACTAGTTGGATTTTACTAAAGATGTATATTCAATAAACTGTTGGTTGGACCGAACTAGTACTCAGTGCCCTATCTTTTAAAAATGAAGGAATGATAATTGAAACTGGCGAGTATTCGCTTTTCAAGGTAATATATGCTTGTTGCAAAGGAGTTTGTTAATATATAAATTTACCAAAAATAAATGCATATTAATTATATTTTGTAGAGCCCCTGCCTGATATCCAACCAGTTGGTTGTTTTCACGACAGTATCGATCGAGCCTTGCCCGATAACTATGCTAATTTTCGAGCTCAGATCATCTGGACGAATATGAAGCTGACAGTGTATCAGTGTGCACGAGTGGCCCACGACAAAGGCTATAAATACTTCGGTGTTCAGTTCTACGGAGTTTGCTACGGTGGAAAGGATGGTGAAAAAAGTTTTGCAAAATACGGCAAGAGTACGAATTGTTGGGAGTTTGACAAACAGAACGGATTTAGTGTTGGCAAGGACTGGCTCAACTTTGTCTATCGACGACGGATTGAGTAGCATTGCAAGTATTTTAGCATGTTGTTTAGTTACTCGGAATAGTTTTGATAATTCTATAAAAATTCATAATAATAAAAGGATTAAAACAAACTGCATGGTATCACCTAAAATTTTATAATTAACACTCACTCCATTTCTTCATTTTTTATGCTACATTTCGTACTAATACGACCGTTACCAAATTCATCGTGCTCTTAAGACACTTTTATTGTATGACTTACTTTTTGTTAATATTGTTCATTTTCAGTAGATTCGCCAGGATTTAAAGAAAAGCAGCTGTCTCCGTACAAACGTTTCACCTGCCATGTGGCTTACGAAATCATATCTCAAAGTTTCCGCGAAGTCATTATTGCAATGAGAAGGAATCATGTAATAATACCTCACAATAAAGGTGTTTGAAAGAAAGGCGAGCGAAGTGTTCCTTAACTTCAGCTGTAACTTTACCAAACTAAACACCTTATATGTGTCATCAAACTAACTCAAGTTCCTTCAGGCATCAAATACTAATTTAAAAAGCTTCAAGAATTATTAAAGGTCCTAAGTGCTGTGAAAGATGTTTGGCTTAGTCGATCGCGAGCGGGGCTTCTTGTACGACGAGTAATACCAATGGTTCTTACCATTCTATAAATCATTCTCAGACCATTATACCAACGATATTCATGAAAAATAACTTTAAAAACGATGCTGTCAAGGAGGTTTGAAACTCATTCCTAAAAATAATAACTATTTGCAAACTTCTGTTTTATTTATTCGACACTTTTTGAAAAATCTAATACTGAATTTCGACATCCATAAGGATCACAAAAACCTAGTCTAGCTTGCATGATTCTCGTTCTGTTTTCAAGCTTGGACTGCGATTCCCACATCTGGACCCTTCCCATTAGATAACTACGTGAAAGAAAGATACGAGGACACTTTAGACCATACTGTTCTACACTAATCCAACATTTTACCAAGGAATTGGGTATCAGGGACTATAAACCTTTCGGGAGTCTGAGGACCTATAAGTTCTACATAAAGGACCCTAAGTGGACCGCAAAGACAAAAAAAATACCTTCAGCTTCATAGATGAATATAGATACATTTCTGTTGTGCTATTTTCCCATGCCTCGGGGCCAACTATGAGTTTTTCATCTTATCAAAAATGGTCTAACAGTAAGCAGGTAAAATGTTTTGATGAGCATGTCAAGCAGTTATGAGAGCTAGCCAATACAACACATGCAGCAGATTTCTTTAAAAATTGATATAATTAATTTTGGATGCAGTATTATAAACCAACAGCTGTTGTAGAATTACTGATTATTCAGAACTTATTTCACGCCGATAACCAGGCGACGCATGGACCAGGAGTCTAGTTGAGAATACAAACTCGATCGATATACTGGCTTACCGAGCCGTGTATTATTCCTTTATGCTAAATTGATGCAGACCCTTCCCATTGTTCAAAGCGGGTAACAATTTTCAAAAAACGAAGGAGCAGGTCATAATTTGAATAAATTATCTGCTGTTCCACACTTAAGTGTATGACCACAAAAATACGTTGCTGGTTCTAAAGCGTGGGAGGTGCTTCGCTCCTTCGCCGTGACCGAGCGCGTAAGTTTTCGCAAATCAGGCACTGGTAATTAATGCTTTACATATCTTTAAGACTGACTTATTAAGAAAGCTTCGAGCAATAATTAAATGCACAAGTCAATTTTTTAATTTTAAAACCGGTACTAAATTTTGAGAATCACTCATCCATTTATTTGATGCTGGAAATGTGGAAATGAACAATGAATAAAAATATCAATATTTTTTTATAGGTAAATTCCTTAGGTTAATTCTTTCAATACTGTAAATACTTCAAGAATCACTTTACATTATTCTTGGAAAACGTCAAAGGAAGCTGTGGTCAATACTTAAACTATTTGTGCAACTTAATGTGCCGAGCTTAGGAAAAACAAGTTATTAAAAATTCATGCAATTCTTGTGTAACATTTTTAAAAGAGGTTTCAAACTTTTCGGTCTTTGCCCATTTTCAAAAGGAGACTAAGTATCTAAGAACAGAAACTGGCCCACAATATTTATGTTGATGAAAATGGTGCGGTGAATGCTCTGTCAATTTTAGAGAGTGTAACTAATTCCTGAATGTCTTCTGCTATTTCCTCTATCAATTAAAACGAGTTTTTTTTATTGTTATTATTTAAAAAATAAATCGTCATTACCACTTAATCAGGTAAAACTGCTTGACTTGTAAAACTCAATGTATCGTGATATAGACTCTTTTTGCTCATTAGAGCCAAAGTAGTTTTTGTTAAATAATTTATAGATAATTGACAACCACCGGGTAGATTTGGTTACTATTTCAGTTTGCATTCACTTTCTATCTAACAACACGGTGCTTCCCCGCCCGGCTGCTTCCCTTACCATACTAAATACTCTGGACAGTTTAAGGAACAACAGATTTGATCCAGGTCTATGTTAGTTATGTTCGGGTTCTTCAGATTGGCTCTTGGAATCCTCATAACTGGCCTTTGCTGCAGAGATGTATTAGCAGGTAACCAATCTAAAAATGTTGGTCCGTACGTGACTCATTTCGCTTAAAACGTCCATGCAAAGTTTGCACTTTCTACACCCAATGATTTTCGTCACTGACTTCTAGTATTCATTCCAAAAGAACTTTGCCCTTTTATTTCTATAATCCTAATCGGTTAAACGGTTTTATACAAAAAATTTTATGTAGTTCTCCATTTATTATTTTCATATTTTTCCCTTAATTATGAAGGAATATTGTCATGAATAGCTTAGCCAGAGGTCGTTTCTTCAAAACTGTCTTCGCTACGGAGCTCACCTCTCAAATGAAAAGCCTGCTCGCAGCCCTGAGCCTCCATAACGTTTGTTATGTTTGCTTACAGACCAAAAAAAAAAAACTCTGATAGCCGCCTCATTTTAATAATTAGCTAACGCTGCAAGTCTCTCCGTACATGCACTTTTTATAGGCGGGCGCATAATCTTACGCTGTTTAAGGTGTTTCGATACAGTTTTTCGAAGACCATGCAAAGGTTTTTCAATCGCCTTAAAAGTAATTTTATCCTCACTTGTCCGATCGCTATGAAATTATCACCACTCACTGATTTTGGATTGAAGTTTCTTAAATTTAGTTTTATAAATAAAATCGGCATCACTATGACAAAAACAAACAATTAAAATGTTGAAATCGGTAAAAGCCTAATTTTGCGCGATCTAGACCAGTCCTGCTACTGAAAATCCCACATCTGGAACTTAAAGTGTGCTGTTTAGCAAACACCCTCCGTGAGAAGTAAAAAAATCTGTATTTTTGAATTGAAATAAAACGTAAATATAATTCAAACCTTATATTTTCAATAGCCGTTATAAATTATGTAGTAAAAAAGTTCTGAATTACTCAAACTAATCTTAAATAGCGTCAGAATTTAATGTCATATTTCAATGCTAGGAAATTTTGGTGTATTTTCCAGATTTTCTTTTGCGGATTAGAAAACTAAGTCTTTTTTTTCACCACCTGTCTAAGTGCAACTTTATTGTTCTAAGTTTTGACTTTTATTGCTTTTCAATATATTGAACGGCTCGACAGAATTCTTTTTAAACCTTATCACCAAATCTTCACCATGTATATAATAATGTTTGAAACTTTCATGAGGATTCATTGATTCAGTGCACCACCTTTAAATTTCAAGACGAACCTAACCTACAAACCGGTCAAAAATCCGCGTTACAACATTCACTGTTTTGACGTTATGCTAATGTTTCCAAATTAATGCCCACCGTACATACCTCCATGATTAGTACATTTCAGTGAGGGAACTTTAGGGAGTTAAAATCCAAAAATGTTTCCGGAAAAGCATGCCCCCTAATGGCGCTCGTTTAGGAAATTGGTCAGTCAACCTAGTTCCGCGCGCCTGCATCCAATGATCTTTTTTTTTATTAAACACACTTTGTGATGCTGTTTTTGTTTTGTCAGCTTTAGTAACTGGCTTAAAGAATTCTGTCATTGTGGGAAATAATTCTGAGTACTTGTCTAACTTGACAAACTGGATCAGAAGAAGTGAAAATGATTGGAAACTCTGCTGGAGAAAATCACGTGATGGCTGGGATAAGAATCAATTCCATTCCCTATGTGACGAAAAAGGACCAACAATTACTATTGTAAAGGTTAACAACTATATCTTTGGAGGCTACACCAGTTTATCATGGAGTGAGTCTTCTAGTCTTTTTTTGCGTGTTTAAAAGTGTCTTGATTGTCACATATACAGATCTAGAACTGAACATTTTTAATTGTATATGACTATTTATCTGACGTTTCTTTTTTCTTTATCCTAAACTAAAATATCATTTGTTCAAACTGACACATGCATTTTTATAGGCTTTGGCCTTGGTCCAAGTTGAACGATCCAAAATAGAAGTTTAATTGAATAGGCGTTCGAAACCATTCTCGAATGTTGGATCCTTGGCCAACGAATTAGGTTTATCGCGTTATTGTAAAAAGCCATAATCAAAGATTTTCGAAAACGCTGACGGCATATAGCTGCCGATTATCATACATGACCTGGCTCCATGCATTACAAAACAACAAGGCGGTGATTAAAAACATACTTCCAAGGATAGGCGCGGCTGTGAACGAACATTTATCACCAGACATGCGCTTTCGATGGTTGCCTCGAGTAGACGCTTAAAATGAATGAGTTTGATGAGTTTATATTAACAGGAAAACGCCGAAGGTTTTGGGAAACGCGTTAGTGAAGAACATGCTGGCCTTACAGAGACGATTTGTTGAATTCTTTCTATTCTTTATTTAGAGTCTGGTTGCCGCTATCAGTACGATCCACAAGCCTTTCTGTTCTCGCTGGTAAACATGCAAGGATTGGCACCTGTAAAGTTCGATCAAACTGGAAAGTACAGCTTTCACAAATCGTATTCCACGTACAGTTGTGACAATCTTGGTCCTATTTTTGGAAGAAAAGATCGTCATGACTTGAAACTGGACGACGTTCGATACAGTTCTTATTCAGATCTCGGCTACACGTACAGTCCGCCGAGCGGCCACAGCTATGGAGACAATTTTGCTCAAACATTCCTCGCAGGACATTATACATTCAATGCGGATGAAATAGAAACGTTTTACGACGCAGCCTTTACGTCACAAGGTACTTCGAGGATTAGCTAGGGTCACTATATCTTATATACAATTTTTCCAGGAATTTTAAAAAATAATAAGTATAATCTAGCCATTTTATAATTAAAAAGTTGCTCAGCAGGGATTGATCAAAACACTCATTTCAAAAACAAATTTTCAACGTAATACCGTAAAATTTCGAAAATAAGCCTCTCCATGTATAAGCCCCTCCAAATATAAGCCCCCAAACCGGTAACGCAAAATCGCCCCTACAAATATAAGCCCCCCGGGGGCTTGCACTTGAAAAACTGCCCTCAGATACAAAGTAGAACAAAGCAAAAACGGTAACTTTACTTCCAACTATAAGGCTAGCCCAATCAATTTTGAAACGCAAATTTCCCTTCGTAGAAAAGCCCCTCCGAAAAAGGGCCTTTGAAATAGGCATTGCTTTCATGTCAAAAACGCCTAAAAAATTGGGTTATCGTTCTTGCTTGGGACGCGTAAAACCAACTAAAAGCCGTTAATACACCCTAGTAAGTGTTTCTGACATCCGTCATGCCAGGCATTAAACCTCGATATAACTGCCTGATAACGAAGGGCGAAGGGACTGGCAAAATTTGTTCGCTGTAAAGAGGTTTCGTTATACATCAAGGTTCTTTTTAATAAAGGTTATTCTCAGATATTTTGAAACGATTTGGGACAAAATCTCTTATTCTCAGTAGCTGTTCATTTTAATGTTACGCGTATTTTATGATAATTTTATTCATATATTTAAACTGCAGGAGAGATATTTAACAAGATAACCGTCTCGTTTCCTAACTTCAAAATTTGCTAAATGAATTGCTGTTTTTGTAGAATTAAACTTTAGGGGTTCACAATGAAAGTCTACTCTGTGTCAATTCAAGCGCCATAAAATCGCGTTTGTGACTTAAAATTTATTTGGTTGGTTAATTTGAGGATAATCCTGTTAGTCAACAATGCTGACTATTGTGGGCGAATTACGTTTTACACTTTGTGTCTTCGCTTTGTGCTCTACATTTTGCGCCTACTAAAAATGACTGTTGTTTATGATATAAATCTCGGATTTTATGCCTGCTTTTGTGTTTGTTATTTTCCAGATCCCTGCATTGTAACAATTTACTCAAATCCTTTTATTGAGAGGGTGGTAGTTCCACATCCAGTGGCATGCTTTACAGGTGCTGACAATCTCGAGGAGGAACTCGGTGATTTTGCAGAAGAGATAAACTCAAAAACTGACGCTTACGATGTAGTGGAAAAGTGCGCTGAGTTGGCTCATGGCAAACATTACAAGATGTTCGCGTTGGGGAACAATAGTTTGTGCCTATCTGGAGCAGACACTCAAAACAGATACTACATCAATGGTACGAAAGACGCGGAGTGTGAAGACGGTATCGGCAAGGGAGATAGTATGTTCGTGTATTCCTTAGGTCAGTGCTAAGGGTTACTTTTACGTCATTCACTTCAACCGTTCAATCGATGTTCTGCTAAATATAGAGGGTGGTTCTTGGGAGAGCTACAACTTGAAGTATTAAAGAGACAGCTCAGCACCGAAAGCCTCGGAAATTAAAACTAAGCGAGAGGATAATTACTTACAGTGTCCGCAGGCCAAAGAAGGTGCAAATAGAAGTGGAATTAGGAGTAAAAAAATCGCTGCAAACCTTAGGGCTTTTTTAAATTTTAAATTTATTTATGAAGACATGAGGGCTTAAGTCTGAACCGAATAACGTCACGTCAGTTGCAGTTGAAAAATCGGATGATGGCCGGGGGGAGGTTTCACACAGACTCGAAGGGCGTCCAATTAGTTGCTGTCTGTTATATTACTGTCTCAGGAGTAGATACAATATGACAAACCTACAGAGTTAGTGGAAGTCCTTGCGACAGCCAGACTCCAAGTGTATGACATAATAACAAACAACACAACACAACAAAAAAAGGGGAAAAACTAGAGTATGTTAAGACGTGCTATCTAGGCTCTGTACTGTAAGAGGCTTAAGATACATTACCAATATATATCCAATCACTGATTCCGCCACTTGAAGGTACAATCAATGTGTTTCTACTCTTTCTGAATTAATCTCCTTCTTAATTCCTTGCCAGATCACTTGCCTGATCTCACGCCAGTTGGATGCTATCATGACAAAAAGAACGATCGCGCCTTACCAGATCACTATGCTAACTTCCGAAAACCCCCTGAGATAGACTTGACACAATTAGATGAGACAATACACCAGTGCGGACAAGTGGCCTACAATAAAGGTTACCACTACTTTGCTGTCCAGGATTACGGAGAGTGTTACTCTGGAAATAATGCCTCGGCAACTTATGCCAAACATGGCGAGAGCGAAGACGGTTGTTATTGGATTGACAAAAACGGAGGATTTGGAGTGGGAAAGGAGAACACTAATTTTGTTTATAGGATAAACTAGCCGTTAAGGTTCAACTTGAGTCGTGTTGCTACTATTAGTATGGAAGTAGTTACGATGTCAGTAAGGGTCATGATCTAAGCAAACTTAAAGCAAAGGGAACACATACAACAACCCACGGCCTGACCAGTGCTTTGCACTCGCCTCGGCAGTAGAGGGTCTTTGAAACACGGGCTTTCCACGTTCATTGACCCGACAGCTATGCTATGCTGATGAGCCCCAATAAGGGCGAAACAGCTGTCCATGGCTTCCACTGCCCGGGTGATAAGTCTATGCGTATGCGTGAGGTACTGGCTAGGCCGTGGGTTGGTATATGTATGTACCTTGCTTTAAGTTTGTCTATAACTATAATTCCTTTATTTACCCTAAGCATTATTTATAGCACTAATGCTAGTGGGGCCGAGCAAACGCTCAGGGTCGTAACATGGTATATCCGGGACCCACTGATCCCTATTTTCTTGCCGTTATTTTGATCCCTGAGCCCCTTTTTCCCCAAAATTTTGATCCCCGAGCCCTGATAAAAAATTGATCCCATCCATGTTTACACAAAATTTTAACTCAGACAACTTTGTTTATCTCCAAATATAGAATATAGAACATGCTCAAATGGGCTGATGAGAAAAACATCAACTTTGATTTTTAGTGCAAGTTGTATAGGTTCTATCAGAGCTCTTTAAAGATCAATATAAGTCAACCTCTTTTTGTGCATTACTCTATTTAAAACACTTTAAATATAATGTTTGGCGATACTATGCAAATGATAAAACCTGATTTTCTTTAACGGGAGCTTTAGTAAGATACAGAATGTAAGTTATTGTTAATTTATACATCAAAAGTAGTCCACTTCAATTCAAGTATCGTACATCTTAAAAGATCTTGCGGCGGAAACTTGATTTTTTCAGATGTACCGTTCATCAAGAGTATTTACAAGGTTTAATTTCAGTGTTGCTCATAGGAGCAAGGCCACCCGGAGGTTTATAAGCCCATCACAAGAAAGCATTGGATTCAAAATTCGAACAAATACACTTTTAGTCAAACAGCAAACACAGCTAGCGCTGGTTGGTCCCCGGTTGAATTAACGTCCCTGTAAGGTACTTCTGAACTAGGGTCTTCCTGTAGCTTTCCAATTCCTGTCCCGTACGAACGTCGACCGTGTTACTGGTCTACAATACTGATCGGTAATAAAGTGTAATCGTTTGTCTCACGATTCAGTCACTTAATGATGTAGATCGCGATGTTTCAACTGCGTACTTCAAGTGTTCATTAGAAAAAGCAACACTTAAAGACCTTGCCTTGCTAGTCTTCGTCGACTGGTCACACGTGAACTTATATGACTCCAAGCTCTGGTTCTGGTTGGTCGATTATTAGCCGCTGAGATTGGTGCATTTCTTACTCCGTTGTTTGTATGAGCTTTTGCCTCACTGGTCCGCTGTCGTACGAATCTCCTATTGCTGTGTTTCTTGATTAAGGGCAACCAAGCTTCTGGACTTTCTATTCTGCTATCCCTGTTGATGTTGTTAGAGTGTAGTCTTATGTGAATTTCCTCTTTCACTCTGTGTGTGTTACGTTGAGAATCACGATCAATTACCAATAGCAAAATACCTGCTTTACATGAAGTAGAAAAATTAAATGATGCAAGCCACAGGTTCTACAGTTTTTAAAGCAGCTTTTCTGTGTCAAGCCCATTAATGCCGGCTTTTCCTGGCTTAATAACCATTGAAGATTGTCAGAGGACACATCTGGTTGTAGGTCTTCCAGACCTACTCCTTCCAGCTTCGAATCTAATTGACTCTGAGAAGGTGCGCACCTGAGCTTACTCCCCTTCCTCTTCGTCACCACCTGACGCAGGTGAGTCATCTGATTCAACTGACCCCTGGAGCAATGCAACTAGGCGTTGCTCTTGAAGGCAGCTCAAACAGAAGTTGTTTCCATCTTTTATTATTTGAGCTTTCCCGATGATACACTCAGGTGAATTTCTATCGTCACCGTGCCCAATCTGGTATACAACAGGATCTTCTTCTGACTGTTCCAGCTATCTCAAACCCATGTGATCTTCCAGGAATGCGTCACCGTTATGGTAAAGATCTTTTAAAAGAACTGCAAGGAAGAAAGGAATGATATACCTCTTGTATTTGTGCTTGAGAGCAACTACGTCGCCTTTTGAATAGATAATCTCATATTCTTCGGCTGCGTCTTGAACTGTAGTTTGTACTTCACTCGCTTGAACCTCTCTCAGGAGATCGACTTCTCCGTGTGCCGACGCATTCCTTCTGAACATACTCAGAGCATGCAAGTGGAAGTGTACCAGCTCTTTCTTTGGTCTTCCCTCTTGTTCTTTGCTGTCGTACACCCTGTCCGAATTCTTTCGCAAAGCTCTGCAATGCCTTCCTGTATCGCTCCTTTCCCTCCCCGCTCGTTTCCTCGTCCATACCCTCCTTAAGGTTTACTCTTGCCGTGCGACTTTCGAAGCCATTCCGGTGCCTTTGGACCAAGCTTTGTCTGTGTGTAATGGGTCTGAGGACCGGAATAAAAGATAAACGAGGATTGGTAGACCCTCTCTATTGATTCTAAAAGACAGCGAAGTCGTTCAGAGAGGGTGTTCTGTCTCCACTAAAAAATTCAGGCTCCAAATCTAAGGTGGTGATACCTTTCGGAGCCAACCATTACATAAGCCGAGGCCGAATAGCCCAAGGGGCCGAAAAAATTCTTGTAGATCAATATTGTCGCTAACCCATAACCCATCCCTGGCTCAAAAATCAAATAGTGGGCCCCCTTACTGATGGCCCTTAATTCATGCCGAGTGCTATAATATATTACATCCCTGGCTTAAAAATCAAATAGTGGGCCCCCTTACTGATGGCCCTTAATTCATGCCGAGTGCTATAATATATTACATTCCTGCAGACTCTGCTACTTGTACCTAGTATGCAACATTCCTTTCACCAGTTAAACCGTTTATTTTATAATAAAAAAAAAACTGAAGAAAATAAACTATAAAGGCTTTGTTACTTTTATTTCACCGAGGTAAATCTTTGGTGTTCCACTTGTTTTCACTAATTCTACACTGTAATTTCAGACTATTTATCATACAAGCATTTATCAGTTATACCGTAAGGGAATGTGTCCTTTACTTTCCCGGCCCAATACTAGAACTGGTAGGTGAACCGACCTCGGTTTCTAATCAGAGTTCGAGATAACCCTAAAACTCCATGCAATTAGAGCAGATTTATTAAATTGCGAGAAAGTATTTATTTTGCAACAAAGCGCGCGAATTCATTGCACTTTTGTATTCTACTTTTGACGTCCATTCTAATTATTGCTGCGGAGCGACCGAAGGGAGCGAGCAGCAACATAATCAGGATTTAAAGGAAATATATAAGGGGCGACGAATTCTCAAATTCATCACTTTTTACCACAATGCATTGCATTTAACCACACTTTTTACCACAATGCATTGCATTTAACCAGAGTGCATTGCGCCACGAACAGCTCAAATAAAAACACGGGGAAGTAGTGCATCGTTCGCTGCTCAGTTCTTTAGCACGGTTAGAGGTCTTACCAAATTTTAAGACACGCAGGAGTCTTTCAGATGAGTACGATGGTTAACTTGGGGATTGGATTTCAATTGAAGAGCTTTTGACTCGTCCAGGTGTTAAACCTGACGAGAAGATGAGCATTTGCTCTTCGACTCCGCAACACGGGGGGATTCCAGCTTGCTAGAAGGTGATGTGAAAGTGAGAAAATGACATGCAATGCTATTCTTAAGAAACTGTATGAGCCGAAAATGGATGTGATTTTGACCATTCCCTTCAAAATAACAGCGGAAATCGAGATAATAAAACATATGTTTTGTGTCCTACTTTGCAGACCAGGACGTGTATCGGCGTTTTGAAAAGCATAATTATGTTCTTTCATTCATTCGTTGCCATGGAATATGCGTTTACATTGTTTTTTCACTGTTAATAGCTCGGTTAATGCGGCTGGCGATCATCTTGCCGGCGGAAGTTTCATGGAAAAGGAATAAAATGAAAGACTCTTCCTAAACATTACGTAATCAGCCTCTGTGGTGTAGAGGTTAGGTGTAGTCTCGTCGAGTCGAAGGTGCTGGGTTCGAGTCTTAACGAATTATTTGTTCCTACTTTCTTTTTTTTCCCGTTTTTTGTGTTGTTGTTTTCTATAAATATATAGCTAAATAACTGTTACTTAATAAAGTGCAACAAACAGCAAGAAAAGTATTGTGTTTCCAGAGAAAATATCGTGCACCGTATATTAA